TGATATGAAAATTTAAAAGAAAACTAATAGTTAACTAATAGTTTTTCGCCCATTTTATATATTTACAATATTGTATTTTATTATTGTCTGAAGGACAACAATAACAATATAAAATGTGAGACAACAAAAGTTGTCAATCGAATTGACCCTAACAAATTCCTTTCTCCACTGATCTGCTTGGTGGGCTTTACAATTTTTTGCTTTTGATAATATATTTATGTAGAACGTTAAATACAGTTAAATTAAATGCACGTAAAAATAAGCGAGATCAGCAATAACAATGCACACAGTTCCAATATCGGAGTGCGTTAACTTGAGAGCCAAGTAAACGCACGGCTTTCCAATATTCTCCAGATTTGTCAAACATATGTTATTTTTATATACTAACATATCATTTATGTAGGGTTCAACTGATTGGTCTGATTTGGAAACATTCTCCTGTATGCCTGTTGTATTAACACGTAAAGTTTGCCAAAGTGCTAGGCCTGTCCAGTCTTATTTAGGCTCAGTGACACAGACGCCTAGCTCGTTTTTGTCGTTATTCCCTAAAGCAGTTCCTAGTTTAGATTTATAACAGATTCACGCTGCTAATTCTCTTTCTTTCTCTTTATTCAGACCATTCATGACTAATGTTTATTTCGAAGAGTACACAAGATGTCTTTTTTTACACTAAGAAGTGTTTTTAAAAAAACCTTGAACTGCCTAACTTCTCGGAGCTGATTAAAACCGATAATAGGTAAAACCGCTTTTACCGGACTTTAACCGCCTATTGTAAACCGTAGCATTGTTAAAGGTACTCATTGATTTAAGTTACATAGAACATAGGCTTAGAACATACACTATCTCGACCTATTAATGAGTACCAGAAATCAAACCTAAATCTACCTCATAAGAGTCAACATCCTGCCCTTTGAAGTACCAGGAAACCAACAAATCATTAAATATTAACAATCCCTTATACCTAAGAAATAAGTTAGTAAACTTTTTTTATTATCTATATTATTACAGTATTGATAAAAACTAGGTGTTATTATTATAAGTATTGAGTATTTTGGGAGGTACTGATTAAGAAGATTCAAGAACTACATAGGAAGGATATCATATCAATGGGAATTTATATTTCCACCAATACGAAACGAAGAAGTTAATAATATGTAAGAATTCAGAAATACTATAAGCGCTAAGAGGAGCACATAATAGGAGATAGGTACAAAAGAGAAGTTACATATGCCAGGAATCATATTTAAATTAAAATACCAAAAGATTATCTTTCGAATAAAGTCAATTTCATGTTAATTTAAACAATCATCCTTGTTTTATTTTAATTCAAAGTTAGCCAAAAAACACCTATTAGTATAAAGTTAAACGAAAGTATTGGTTATTAAAAAACAATGAAGTAAATATAAGAATGTTGTTATATACCACAACACTTCTAAATACTGGAAAATCATTTAAACCAATAGCAAACAGAAAATATAAAGAATTTAATCCAAGAGCGGATAGAAAGTATAGAGAATCAAGTAGTAAAGGTTAAGGAATACAAAGCATTCAAATAATACCAGAAGAAAACAAAGGTAATAAGAAAGTTTTTAACAAGACAAAAATAAAAATAATTTTTTTACAGTGAAAATTATTAATGGTATTGAAATAAATTAAACCAGAAGACATAGTGAGATAACAAAAGTTATGCAGAACATATCGATATACACAAATAACAGGTTCTTAAAAACATAACATATTAGTAATATATATTGCACTTCTATTAAATATGTGCAAGGGAAAACTTAAACTAAAAGCTACTGAGATTATTTTATAAATTCAGTTAGTAACTAGTGACTAATAATAATGACCTCCTCTACAGATAGACAACACATAATATGTAGCAATTGTTTAAATTTGGAAAATTGTGATTTACAAATTACTTTCCCAAAAAAATGAATGTAAGGTCATATTTTTTAAGAAGTTGCACAATTTCGAGAAACAATCCTTCTCATTGCTTTTTTCCGTTTCATCATGATCACGAAGAGGTTTGCCACCGTGTAGCTTTTCCGGTAAATGCAGATAACTTTTTTAACTGTTGGCGTCTATCAAAACTTCTTAATCTAACAAATTTCAATCTGCAGAAACCGAATACTCTCGCCCTTTTACTTGCGAAGAAGTTACTATAGCTCTCAAGGATGTAAAGCCAGGTAAAACCCCAGGTTTTGACAATATTCATTCCGAATTATTAATTAACAGCGGTAAATATGCGAGGGAATGGATGGCCCACTTTTTCACAGATATTATGAAGACCGGCACCATACCACAGGAACTTAAACGCTCGAAGATCATTGCCATATTAAAACCAGGGAAACCAAATGATAGCTGCCCTAACAACTACAGACCAATAGCCCTACTATCGGCAACGTTCAAGCTACTAGAACGACTTATCTATAACAGAATTAGTCCAAAGCTACTTGAATCGATACCGGTTGATCAGGCAGGAAGCTGCGCAGATCAGGTTCTTTCACTTATCACATTTATTGAGGTAGGGTTCCAGAGAAAACTCAAAACTGCAGCCGCATTCATAGACTTAACAGCGGCCTACGATATAGTCTGGAGAGAAGGCATGATATACAATCTCCTTCGTATAATCTCCTGTAAATCCACCGCTCGAATAATCAACAGCATGCTAGCCGACCGAACAACTCAAATAGTCATGGGAACCGACATCAGCACCCCAAGACAACTGAAGAATGGAGTGCCCCAGGGATGACTGGGTCCTTGCAATAAGGTGTAAGTCAATTGAACAAACAGAAGAAATCCTTACGGCAGACTTACACACAGTGGGAAAGTATTTCTGTAAATGGAGGCTCCAACCAAACGCTACCAAATCTAAATGCTACCGTTTTCATCTAAATAACAAGCTTGCAGGAAGAACACTGAACGTTCAATTCGAAAACACCACACTGGCCTACAATAAAACATCAAAGTACCTTGGGATAACTCTTGATAGAACCCTATCTTGCAAGGAACATCTGTCAAAAACAGCGGAAAAACTTAAATCCAGAAACAACATCATCCAGAAGCTGTGCGGCACAACATGGGGAGCATAGACTTCCACCTTGCGATCATCTGCCCCGGGCCTTGTCTTCTCAACTACGGAATACTGCTCTTCAGCCTCTCTTAACAGCCCACATACACACAAAGTAGATGCCCAATTGAACAATATAATGAGAATGATTGCTGGTGTTATCAAATCCACTCCTACGCAATAGCTCCCAGTCCTGAGCCGCAGTCCACCACCCAGACTACGGCGTATACACTCCCTCACTTCTTCTTCTTCAGATGCAAATCCACTAATGGATGTTAGCGATCACATTTTCCATTAACTCTCTATTTCTTGCAATATGTATCAGAGATTGTATGTCGTTAATCCCTGTCCATTGCCTTATGTTTCGGAGCCAGGACATTTTCTTGCGTCCCATTCCTCTCTTGCCTTCAATTTTACCCTCGATTATAAGTTGGAGGAACTGGTATTTTTCATTTCGCATGATACTCCCTCACTAGTGAGTACCAAAAGATACTTAGCAACGAGACCCTGCCAATTCATCAATATATAGATTTTGCCAAAGGTAACCGTTTACGCTCCAGACGACCGCTAATAAAAACAACACAGATTGCAGTGGAAAATGAGTTCAACTTAACGACCACTTGGACTCGAGAATGGATGAAATAACAAAATAGCAGCTTACCAACAAACCACCAGGTTTTGACTTACCACGCAACACATGGACTATGTTGAACCGAATTAGAACCAAACATGGCAGATGCGGTTATATGATGCATAAATGGGGTAAACGACCATCCCCACTTTGTGACTGCGGACAACCACAAACCATCTGTCACATTACAGAACAGTGTCCCACAAGATCCTATCAAGGCAGGTCAGTGGATTTCCTAATGGCGACTTCAGAGTCGATAGAATATATAAATAAGTTAGATGTTCCTTTGTAAACATATGTGTAATGTTTTATACAAAAATATGTATATTTAATTGTAAATATGTCAAGTGCCATACGATAAATAAATAAATCTTAATCTAACACCCTCAATATATTCTTGAAGCAAAGTTTTGTATCCCCTCGTTAAATTGTAAAATACCAATTTTTTGCCATGTAACAATATTATTAATTTTTACCGTATTTATTACAAATGCTTTACTTTTTAGTTTAATATCTCATTTCTTTAATATTACTCAAAAAGTTGACAGATTAGTTGTTGTCTAATTTTTGCCCCCCGAAAATTAGTGTGGGTTCCACGGCACCTGCGGAACCTGCGTGGCCACTACAATTGTGACACACAAGAAAAGGTAGAAAAGGTTATTACAAATAAATTTTAGATATTCACAGAGATTTTCTTTTTAAGTTAGAGCCAGCCAGTGATATTAAGTTTTAATGGTAACAATAATAAATAGCATAGACGTATTTGTTATTGTTTATAGTCATGCTTTATACCAGTTAGATTTTATTTGCCCATAGAAAATTATATTAAAGGTAAAAATAAATATATGCAGAAAACCTTAATCATTCTATAACATTATTAATTTGTTATCTAAAATATGCCTAGCAATGTAGTGTACTGTTTCCTAATAAAAGTTTTCCATTTGTTTTTCTGAAAAATGATGCGTTTTTATTTATTTTCGATGAAATTCCTTATGTATTTAACGATCAATCTTGTGTTTGACATAAATATATGGTGCAGAAAATATGGAGCGAATTGACAAATAAATAATAGTAATACTTTCCCCTTTGAGCACTCTTGTTCTACCTACTTAGATCAGAATGGAATGATTACTGCGTATTAAAGTCAGTGCTAAAGAATGGAAATGGTGTGAATTTTTATGTACATACTAGCATTTTGTCCTTTCAACCTTTTCGTTGGAGTAAATCAATCAATTTCATAGTTCTCTCTTATTGGTTGTATGTAGAATCTAGTTCAGTCCAGAAAGTAATAATTTTACAAATAATTCTTAGTTATATTAGTTAAACAATAATTTACAAAAAACTGAAGACAAATTTCAGTCATATGATGTTAACACATAGACTCAGTCTAAATATAACGCTTCTGCTTAATATTATTTTCAAATTTAAATTAAATAAAAATATTCCTATTATCTTTAATAGTACCCAAAACTAATATCATGTAAAGGTGCAGCTCCATCTGACGGTAAAGCGTAGTCCTTACTTAACTGGTCCAAAATTCCTCCTGACCTTCCTGCCACTGGAACAGAGGGTGCGGGCCTTGGTTGATAAACAGGCGCAGGCCTTGGTGCAGGAGCAGGAGCAGGAGCGAACCTGGCAGAGGGTATATCGTATGATGGCGCTGGTCTCGAAGGAATTGGAGCTGGTTGAGCGTAGGTTACTCTTGGTTGAGTTCTAGTGACTGATGCCGGAGCTGGACCAAACCCATCATCGATAGGAGAGGGGCGTGCACCAGGAATCTGCAAAGGTCGAGGACGGGGTGCGGGAGCTGGTGCTGGAGCGAATGACCTTGCTGGTGATGGACGAGATGCTGGTCCAAAGTCGAAATCGAAATTTGATTGCGATGGAGCTGGAAAATCGATAAAATAATTATTTATATTTGGTTTGAAAAAAAAACAATTGTTTTTTAAACTCTAATGATTGGAAACTAATACCTGAATATATTTTTAATGTTTTTAATCATATCAAAACTTATCACTGTGAAATACTAAGCAAAAAATCGGATAAAAATCGGTAAATCTTTAAATAACCTAAAATTAGTTTTTAATATCTCTTTTCATATCATATAGATATCAGACGCATGGAGAAACAGCATGATGATACCAATGTTCAAGAAAGGAGATAAAGAAGACCCCAATAGTTATAGAGGTATAAATCTACTGAACACCGCACTTAAGGTTACCACAAAAGTCCTAATCAATAAAATCAATCAACTAACAACTTTATCAAATGAACAACAGGGATTCAGATCCAGAAGATCCTGCGTAAACGCCGTATTTGTACTAAGGCAAATCACATAAAAGGTTATCGAGTACAATAAACCAGCATATCTATGTTTTATAGACCTGACAAAGGCTTTTGATCGCATCCAAGTCGAAAACATCTTACACCTACTGTATAAAAGAAACATACCAATCAATATTATACAAACCATCGAAAACATCTACTTCCAAAATCGAATACAGGCAGAGATAAATGGAAAACTAACACAGTGTATACCAGTACAAAGCGGAGTCAGACAGGGTGACTCGTTGAGCACACTTCTCTTTAATATAACAATGGACGAAATAATACAAGCAGTACGTAAAGGTCATGGCTACAGAATGGGGAACAAAGAAATCCAAATATTATGTTCTGCAGACGACGCAGCATTAATCACCGAGACAGAAGACGAGCTCCAAAGATTAACACATATCTTTGGAGCTAAGAAATACAATATGATAATATCAGCAGACAAAACCAAATGTATGACAACATCTAAATGGTGTAAAATCGAAATTGATGGGAAAATAATAAAGCAGGAAGCAAGGTTTAGATATTTGGGAATAGATATAACTAGTTACGGAGAGGTTGAAGAAGAAGTACGACAACAAAAAAGATGGTGCGACAATTTATGAGGCTAATATCGAAGAAGAAACAGGCTTTAAAGAATATATACTAGAAGGAAGAAGAAGATATCATATAGAATATGTCAGAGCAGATGTTTGGTAAAGACAGAAAGAATATTTAGTTAAATATTATTAAACAGATGAGTTTTGTAACAATTGGAAGTATAATTTAATTAAAAAAAAATACCGACCCTAAGGAAACAAAGACGAATAAGTACGAAAATGTAGAAATCTTGAACAATCAGAATTTTACACAAAAATCTTGTAATTCCTAACTTTAAATTTTATCATAAATTTTATCAGTTATTTTTGAAAGAGTATGTGTAGTTTATCGTGCAAATAACTCTTAAAAATTGTTTAAAAAATTAATAAAAAAAATTAATAAAAAATACCTGGACGAGCGGGAGCTGGTGCAGGTTCAAATTGTTGTGGAGGAGAATAGTCTTCGAAAGTTTGCTGTTGTTGAGGTTGAGGCTGAGGTCTTGGTCTTGCGATTGTCGCTTTTCTTATTGGAATTTGTGGTTGAGGGTTGTGGCTCATAATAGTCGACATCTTGTGGACCTTCTTTTTGAGATTCATCGACTAGTGTTGGTGGTGGAACAGTTATACCTAAAAGATAAATATGATTTTAAATTATGATGTATAATAAATTTTACATACAAACAATACTACAGTATGGATTTTTTTAAATACACATAACATATTCCATGTACCTTCCGTTACATTAAACTTCTTCTTTAAGCGCCATCTTCGTTCCGAAGGTTGGCGATCATCAGGGCTATACGTATTTTCGAAACTGCTGACCGAAACAATTCGTTGTTGCTACAGCTATACCATTCCCGTAGATTCTTTAGCCAGGAGTTTCGTCTTCTTCTTATGGACCTTTTTCCTGCTATTTTTCCTTGCATAATTATTCGAAGCAGTTCATATCTTTCGCCTCTTGTAATGTGTCCCAAGTATTGCAGTGTTTTTGATCGTAAATATGACTTCCTTTTCTTTATTCATTCTTCTCAAGACCTCAACATGTGTGACTCTCTCGGTCCATGATATTCTCAGGATTTTGCAATACATCTACAGTTCAAATGCCTCTAATTTTTTGATATCAATCTTTTTCAACGTCCATGACTTCATTCCGTAGAACAGCACAGAAAGTACGTAACATCTCATCAGGCGAAGTTTCATTTCAAGGCTCAAGTCTCTTCCGCAGAACACTCTCTTCATTTTAGTGAATATGGATCTGGCTGTTTCTATTCTTATTTTGATTTCTGCTGAGCTATCGTTGTCTTCATTTCTAAAAATGCCTAAATATTTGTATTGGCTAACTCGATTGATAATTTTATTGTGTAAATATAAAACTTGGACATTTTGTGTTGATTTCGATATTACCATAATATAACCAAAGATAGTCCATATTCTTCGCTGCAGTCTGCTATTTTATTCACCAATGTCTGTAGCTCTTCAAGTGTTTCTGCGATCAAAACGGTGTCGTCGGAAATCTCAGAATGTTTAATCTGAGATTCTACTGAGATAATCTACATTAAACACGTAGTTCCTACTTGTTTTAATTTATTTATTATTTTACTTTGAATGGAGAAACTATAGTTTTAGCATACTCTAAACAAATGCACACAATAATGTTAACTTCGGAGAGTAAGATAAAAAAAAAGTAAAATGCGAAGTAAAATATCCAAATATACTCCACAGAAAGATTATTGTAGCCTGTGCTTTGTGGCAGTTGCTACCTCTTGCTGGAAATACTAGCTATCGAAGAGTAGGCTTTTTGATTTGCAAAACATTCAACGTGTTTAATTTTTACAAAAATTTTAACGGTTGGTTTTCATTACAGATATCAGTCCTCTACAAATAATTTTTCATGACTTTTGAAGTAAAACATTTAGGGAAGCAGGACTTCAACAGTTCAGAATTTCCCATCGTGTTTCGGCATCAATGGAAAAATTTTATATTATTCATTTGACGAAATTATTTCTAATAATAAATGTGAATAGTCTAAAATCTAAGAGGCAATTATTACATATTAAATTTTATCAATCTTATATAAGGTATGTCAAAAAATATGAATTTCTCTCAAGAGTAAAGTACTTTTATATTTCAAAATATGGAAAAATTTTAATTATAAAAAGTTGTTTGTAATCAACAATGATGTTTTAATATGCAATTATATCTTTTTAATTAAAAACCAAATTTTGTAAATTTTTTTCAAATTACCGATACCCGACATTATCAAAAGAAGAATCACAGGCTTAATACCACCAAGGATTCTAAACTACAGTCTAAATGTTACTGACGAGGTGAAGTACCTTGGTATTACCCTTGACAGGAAGTTAACATGGAACTCACACTTAGGTGGTAGAGCTAAAAGAACATATACTGCCTATGATTAGTGTCGACGAACAGTTGGACGCACCTGGGGCTTTTCGTCCAGGGTGATCGCCTGCGTCTAAACTGCTGTCATTAGGCCAATGCTAACTTACGGAGCTATTGCTTGGGTAATAAAAGTGCTACAAGCAACAGCGATAAACAAACTAAACCATATTCAGCGGATGGCTTGCATCAATATAACAGGTGCCATAAAAATAACATCAACTACTGCAATGGAGTTAATCATTGGCATCACGCCTCTCGATATATATATGTTAAAGAGGTGGCGCTAGTGACAATGATGCGACTGTGTTCAGCTGGTGCAAACCTTGATGTAGGAATGGGACAATTGAGAACTCGTTTCTGGCGGGAGAGCTGGATGCGCTAGCACAGCTACAGGCAGGATGCGATTCGATTGAACCAAAGTTTGTCTTTAACAAACCGTATAAAATCGAAACAAAAGAGTATAGGAAGACAATCGTGGCAAATGCCCATTGCATATACACCGATGGCTACAAAATGAAAGAAGGCTCAGGATGAGGGATATACTCCAGATCACTGAACCCAAGAATAAAGTGGAGTATAAGCAAAAAATGCCAGCGTAGTTCAGACAGAACTGGCTGGTATCTCCATAGCCACAAAAGAGATAACCCAAAAAGTTATAGCAGGTAAAACTAAAATGATACGCACAGATAGCAGACAAGCACTACTAAACTTAAATAGACCATGTATCAGGGTTAGTAATGGAGTGTCACAAGTCACTAACTCAGGCTTCGGATGCCAACACCATCATTCTGAGGTGGGTTAAAGGACACAATAGGAATAAAGGCAATCGCATTGCTGACCAATTGGCTAGAAAGGCGACAGCCCTAAGACTCTTAGGACCTGGAGATCTTTTTGTCTGGTCAACTACAACAATCGGGGAAATTGTCAAATGTCAGTCCCATACGCAAACCGTAAAAAGATGGGAAGAAGAGCAAGGATGTAAACTTGCCAGGGTAACACTAAGTAACCTTGAAGAGTCAGCATCAAAGAAGTACTTGGGAATGATCAGGAAAAACCTACGCTTGACAGTTGGTTTTTTAACTGGCCATTGTCAACTAAACAAACACCTTCACACACTGGAGCTAGCAGACACACCTCTATGTAGAAAGTGTGAACGAGAAGACGAAACTGTAGAGCATGTCCTATGTGAATGCCCGGAGTTATCGTTAAAACGAGAGTACGTATTCGGCGAGTCCGGGCCCACACCTGCCCACATAAGAGAGATGTCTCCTAGTGACTTGTCCACCTTCCTAGAAATGGCAGGATGGACAATGAGCTAAGGGTGACAGCTCCATGCGAGGATGCACAATGGGTCAATTGTGGCCTAAGTGCTGTGAAACTTAACTCGCCTTCCCTACTCTACAGATACAGATACATATATATATATATATATATATATATATATATATATATATATATATATATATATATATATTGTTATGATTCACAAATATACATAGAGTTTTTGAAATCCAAAGACGAAGAAAATTTTGAAAATTTCTGGTATTTCTAGATGTAAGCAAGTGATTAGTGGGTATTAAAAGATTTTTGTATATTGAAAGAAAATAAGAGAACATAGGTTAAGATGGTTACGATATGTTTCTTGGAGGAAGTAAGGAAGGAAGACCCAAGACGACTTGGTGGTAGACGTTTACGAAGGGGATTTTTGCGTACTTGGATTATTGTTGGAAGTTACTGTTCAATAAAATTGTATGCATTAAATTTGAAACTAATAATTCGGATCAAATAAATATGAGTCTGATTTCACATTTCTTTTTATTAAATTCGATAATTCTCTGTCTATTCTCTGCTAATAATTAGGAAAACAGTTGATTAATTAATAAGTTAAAATATTTGTGCATTTGAGTTTAAATTTAAAAAATGTTTTAGTATTATAAATAAATACTATATACCTTCTCCACTGGGATCGAAACCATATTTGGTGGCACCATATTCTACAACACGGACTTTACCGGTGTCGTCAATATATCCATATTTTCCTTTTACATCCCAGTGGGTAATTTGGTTTCTATTTTGAATGTACCATCTGCTGATTCGTATCCATAAGTATATGACCCATCTTCGTTGTGCCTAAAGAAGGTAATTAAGGGTAGTAAAAAGTAATAATAAGTTAATATGTCAACAAGCAACAATGTCGATAATGACTAAGCTAGGTATATTAATAACTTAATAATGCTTAAGAAGCAAATGAAACAACACGTACCACATATATATATATATATATATATATATATATATATAATATATACAGTGTAGGTAAAAGTTTATGGTCGGTATGGTAAAATTTAACAGGATATCTAACGCAGATACAAAATCATATTTTCAGCGAATAGACAAAGATAACAATCATATTTCCCCTTGGTCTCCCCTCCATAAATATTTTTAACACTCATTGCTCATTCGTGAGACGAATAGTTCCGATTAGAGATATTTTACATATTCTCTGGTTCCGATCCTAATATACCTAAAAAACTAGAGGTGGGTCCTCCCGTTTTTTAAATTTTTATCGGAACCGTTTTTCGTAAACTGTAACTAGTTGATTGTTTACCAGTATTCAAATTAGCGAGTACACAAACATATTGGCTATTATCGTGTATGTGTATAAGTATTGAAGTGAAAGAACCTAACGAAGGATATATTTATTATAATTTGAAAAATAAATTAAACAATACAAATAGTACTTACATTTACATTACACATTATTAAATCGCGAATCGTCTAAATTGACATTTAAAAACAAGTTTTCCACTTTTCTTGTTAACCGTGTTCATCTTTTGTTTAAAATTAAACCAGATTAGATTTTAAACATGTGTTCACAAGGAAAAGATTTTGTTACAATACTACAATATTTTATGAATATAGTGGTTAAGTTAGGATATACATGGCAATGGTTTTTCCACCACGGTAATGGACAGTTCCAATCTCCGTTCGAAATGTTTTGTGAGTAATATATCATCAGACAAATACATGTCGACTTCTTTTATATCTCTCGATACAGGTGTATGTTTAGATGAGTCATGTCCAATTAATTCATCAAAAATACACCATGAACTTAAGTCATCTTTATCAGTTTCTTTTTCTTGTACTGGTTGATTTTCAAAATTTACTAAACTTATGCAAAGACTCGTTTCATCCGTTTTCCATAGGTGAAGAACCAGCTTTTAAAAAGTTTGCAGGGTGGATTCCTGGATATAAACCGCCAACAAGAAAAACTGTCAGGTTCATTACTTCAGGAATGTTCTGTCAAAACTGATTTGATAATAGATAAAATAAAGAGTCCTTTTTTTGACAATTCTGCAAAAAACACATTTAAAAAAAGAACATTATCTTCAGAAAGGCTTTTAAAGTATTAATTACAATATAACAAAGTTTCCAAACGGCCAATCCAAGACGTGGAAACTAGGTAGAACTTCACCTATTACATGTTAAAAAGAATGATCGAGTTAAAAAAGGCAATCCGTTCCACATCGGTATTAAATAATACAGACTTAGACTTAGACCAAATCTAAATAAAGAACACTGGATTATTTGCTCTCAGCTTTTCCAAATTTTACGGCCGTTTAAAGAAATAACAAGTACAATGAGTGACCACAAATACTTGAAGGGTAGTTCAGTGATTGTTATGGTACGCTGCCTGCTAGAATCTTGCAATAAAATTTTAGCAAACGGTAACCTTACATCCATAGTATCCGACGTAGTACAATTACTAACAGAGTGGCACATTGTCATTATGTACATTTCTGGATTCATCATTTAAAGTGCAGGGTTTTTCTGATAAAAATGTAAATAAAAAAATAAAAGAAAAAGTTAAGAAGCTGGTTACTTCTATAAATAACGAACAAGAAGATTGTACTATTGAAAATCAACCAGTACAAGAAAAAGAAATCAATAAAGATGACTTAAATCCATGGTGTATTTTTGATCAATTAATTGGAGATGGCTCATCTACACGTACACCTGTATCGAGAGTCCATTACAACGGTGGAAAAACCATTGCCATGTATATCCTAACTTAACCATTATCATAAAATATTGTAAATGTGAACACATGTTCAAAATCTGGTTTAATTTGAAATAAAAAGAAGACGGTTAATAAGAAGTAAAGTAGAAAAACTTAGTTTTTTAATGCCAATTTAGACTATTCGCGATTTAATAATAACGTGTAATGTAAATGTAGGTACGATTTACTCTTTGTATTGTTTAGTTTATTTTTTTAAGTTATAATAAATATATCATTAGTTTCTGTCACTTCAATAAATATACACATAAACGATAATAGCCATTATGTTTGTTTATGTAGGTACTCCCTTACTTGAAACTACTTCTAAACAATCATATTTACTTGTTTACAAAAATTTAAATTTTTAAATGCATTCATTTTTTTTTGGAATCCTGAAAAAACTAATAAATGAACTTTGAAAATAAGGCTATTATCGAGCACAATTTAATTAAATCTAGCCCAAGTACTTTCGCTTAAAATAGCATCTTCAGGGGCATTTCGTCAAAATGTGAACTATCCGGCAAGCGTAGAATGTGGAAACATTAAAAATAACATAAATTGTACAAAACACTACACTAAAACGAGGACAAACAGTTTAAAATTACTTCTACGCTACATTCTCTGTCAGCCGGATAGTTCACATTTTGACGAAATGCCCCTGAAGATGCTATTTTAAGCGAAAGTACTTGGGCTAGATTTAATTAACTTGTGCTCGATAATAGCCTTATTTTCAAAGTTCATTTATTCGAGCATTCAACCTCATTTCATTTATAAACTAATAAATATTTTTGAAAAATTTAAATGCAGAATAAAAGATTACATTATTACCGAGGGCCGAAAGTCCCTTAGAATAAACAAAAAGTTTTTTGAATGAGATATTTGATATTAAAAATCACACTATTTTTTTTCACCCCTATAACTTATTAAAATAAACATTATAGAAGTTTTCAAGGACTTTCGGCCCTCGGTAATAATGTATTGTTTCATTCTGCGTTTAAATTTTTCAAAAATATTTATAGGTTTTCTCAGGATTTGAAAAAAATGAATGCATTTAAACAATATTGGCCCGAAATTTTGTGCCTACGATCTTAACGATAAAACTACCACGACCAACCTCTACTACTCGTTACTCGGCGTTTTGACCAGACGTTGCCAAATAATTATTGTGTATGAATATTTTTTAATGTGGCGTTATTGTATGCAGTTTATTATTTCATATTGGGAATAAGGCACAATGTGACTTTAAAATAAGCTTATTTTGATGTTTAGATTTTTAATTCTGAAATCTTACTTAAAATACGAAACATTAATAAATTTTATTTATATAAAACGATTTCCGAAGTGGAAATCAAAATGTTATATTACACTTATTGTAAAGTAAACTTTTGGCATATTTCCAATAAAAAAACAGTAAGCTGCCATTTATATCAATTTCGCCCAAACTTGATTATCCTAGAACATTGTTCAAATGCAAAAAAGACAACAGGTCAAATAAAACCAATAAGTTTGGCAACGTTGAACTTCCCCTTTTTTATTATTTCCACGCATGCATGTTTGGCGATATAAAGGGCGGACCTAATATACCTCCCTCTTTCTAAATAGCTGTTTCTCACTCCATCTCACGTAAGGTTCATACCGACCATAAACTCTTTCCTACACTGTATATATATTTATATTGAGAGACCAGAATTTAAAATAAATATCAAACAAAATACCTATTTATCTGCTTAAGAATTGGAACCGGTGTTGGTCTGGGTGCTGATGGTCCTGAGTAGTTAGGTTGAACTCTCGCAGGTGCAGGTCTAGGTCTAGGAGCAGGCTGAGGTTCATCATCATAATAGTCTTGAGCAAATGTTGCAACTACTAGAGTAAGCACAGCCAACTGAAAAAAAGACTAGATTAATTTCCAATGTCCACAAAATCTTGATGCAAATTTAAAAAAAAGTAATTTTTTTCAGAAATTAATAATAATAATTTTAATTAATTAATTAAAATTAAGACTTTTACGATGGACAAATTCCAATAGATAAACGAGTAAAGAGCATATCCGACAAAGCATTGCTTTACTTTTTATAAATTATATCAAAATTTACATTGGCAGTTTTTCCACTAAAATTACAAGTTAAAGACAATTTTTACTTTGATGAAAAATTGAAGATACCTATCCCATGTATGATCTATTCCGTGTAAAGTTTGCAATTTATTATTTGGTCAAATTAAAGTTTTACTTGAGAATATTTCAGCAGCAGTTTATCTTATCATTTGGTCAGACCCAGATTGGCGTGCAGTGCTGTATCTGCAAGCCCTTATACCCTGAGTTCATTGTTTTTCCTTGACTTAGATTAAGAACTGATAATAATTTACCCACCCTGTCAACAAAAACATCATACATATAAGGCAAAATATCTATTAATAAAAAGAAAACAGACGACATTCAGAAGCTTTTCATGTATATACCAGAAAAAAGGAATTTTTACTACTCCAGAAAACCTCCACTGGCCTGCTTTTCATCATGAAAATGAAATGAGTTTTCAAATGTGTTTAATAAAGAAACATTTTTATTAATAATATCTTTTAGTTCACTTGATCTGCCAGTGAAAAAATTATTTGTGATTTGTAATAATTATCCTTAGAAAATATCCAAATATTTTGCAGATACAAGGTAAGAGAGATACATGACAATCCAACACGCAGTATTAGACCATGTTAGCAAAATGTCTCACGATCGGTTAGCCGAAACTGCAAAATAAAAACCTCCAAACACACCTCGACAGTCTGGATAACTGTCTATGAAATGGTACAAAAGTTGGTCTTCGTCGTCTTAACTAATACTGGTGAATATTAAGATATCAATTTAAAGTTTCATTGGTCATGCATAATTTATTGAATTTTCCACGTTTTATGTCATCAAAGAAGCAAAGGTTTTATAATAATATTGAATAAGCGAATTTTTGTGTTTTTTCGTATATTTTTATTCTTCTAGATACTTTGTCATTACACGGAAGATCCAATAGAGCATATCTTAGAATGAATATTGCCTGGGCCACCCTTTAATAGGATTTTATAATTAAATATTTCCAAATTCGAGAAATTATCTACTAACACTTTGAATATTATCTTGTGAAAATTGTTTTCAATTTATGACGGTTTGATTTGAAAAGATTATTGATGTTACCTGATAAAAAATTCTGTCAATTCTAGACGTATCCAAAATGTTACTGTTCTAGCCTTAGACAAGGAAAGAGGGATGACAGGTAACACTCTTATTAATAAATCTTCGAAAAGTAAAGCCAGTTTCGATGTGACCGCCATGTTTTAGTGCCTGTAAGTTGCCCATTACTACAGAGAACTACGAATGCATGCTGTGTTCGTAGTTCTCTGATTACTACCTCTCTCAGGGTACCAGGTCTACTGATTTTTCACTAGCTCTACTGATTTTAAATTCAATTTACTGATTTAGTGAAACACTATATCTATCTACTAAAAATATATATAATGATAAAATAATGTTCAAAAAGTAATCATTAAGTACGTGTTTCATATTATGTTCAAACATACATTTTGAAAAAAATCTATTTATTAATATATTTATATTCATTATTCTCAATCTATTGAAGAAATAAAATATGACCTGGCAAACTTTCTGGTGCCGGTTTGGCTTCAGTCAATTCCATACGATTATGTGTCCCCTCTCTTTCTTTATCAAAGGTTCTAGCATTTTTCTACAATAGACGAAACATGTTTGATTGAACATAATTAAGTATAACAAGAGCATCTGGTATTACCAGAAATAACTGAAGATGAAATCGACAAATCCATAAACGACATGAAAAGAAATAAAGCGGCCGGTGAGGACAAAATACTGGCGGAACTGCTAAAAGAAGGAGGAGACACGATAAAAAAATGCTAAAAATACTGTTCAACAAATGTCTGTTTGAAGGTAAAATACCTAAACAATGGAGAAATGCCAACACAATCTTAATACACAAGAAAGGAGACCGAACAGACCTAAACAACTACAGTCCTATTTCCCTTTTGTCACAACTATATAAAACCTTCACAAGAATAATAAACAACCGACTAACCTATAAACTTGATAACTACCAACCAGTGGAACAGGCCGGATTCAGGAAAGGATACAGCACAATCGACCATCCACATGCGCTTAAAATCTTAATTGAGAAAACCAATGAATACAACCTTCCGCTGTACTTAGCATTCGTAGATTATGAAAAGGCTTTTGACAGCATTGAACACTGGGCGGTTGAAGAAGCTCTGGTCAATAGTAGAATATATTCAAGATACCGACAATTGATACATGGTATTTACCAAAACGCAACCATGACCGTAATTCTGGACGACAAATTAATAACGGATAATATAAAAGTTAAACGAGGAGTCCGACAAGGCGATATAATTTCACCTGAACTGTTTACCTTGACCCTCGAAGACATAATAAAATCAACAGATTGGGAAAACAGAGGAATATGTATTAAAGGAAAATACCTAAATCACCTTAGATATGCTGATGATATACTCCTGATCTCCTCGGAACGACAAGAACTGGAATTAATGCTGAATGAACTTCATGAAAAATCACTGCAAAAAGGCCTAAAAATTAACTTCAACAAAACAAAGTAATGACAAACACGGAAGACCAAGTGGCAATAAAAATAAAAACAGAAAAAATAGAACAGGTAAATGAGTATATCGATCTAGAACAAGCAATCAGAGCTAACAGAGAAAATCAAACAGCCGAAATATCGAGACGAGTAAGAACGGGATGGGCAGCGTTCGACAAACTTTCTTACGTTCTAAAAAATCAAACAATCCCTCTATACTTACGAAGCAAGGTATATAACTCCTGTATAATACCGGTGCTCACCTACGGAGCACAGACATGGACATTTACACAGGCCAATTTGGATAGGATAAGGAAGGCACAAAGAGCGATGGAGAGACAAATGTTGGGTGTATCACTTAGAGATAGAAAACGTAACCAGTAGATCAGAACCAGAACAAAGACAGTAGACGCGATCGAACAAGCAGCAAAACTGAAATGGAAATGGGCTGGACACAATGAACGTTTCCAAGACGGACGATGGAACAATGCCATCGGAAAGTGGCGTCCATACAATGCAAAGAGATCACGAGGTAGACTACAGATCAGGTGGAAAGATGACATCAGGAAACAAGGAGGTCCCACATAGCAGAGAACAGCTCAAGATAGGGAAAGATGGAGAGAACTGGGGGAGACCTATATCCAACAATGGAAGGATAGAAAATAGGTCCAAAAAAAGTATAACAATCTGGGTAAAATAATATTTTTGATCATAAATAATTATGTTAGATTTATTTTTTCATATTATCTAAGCTAATAATTAGAATGTAACAAACGTTATACATTATTATATATTTACATTATTCTTTCGTCAATACAACATACAACTTATATAACACTTTTTTGGACAAATGTTTGCGTAAGTTAAAATATAATTATTATAGGTTTTAGTTCAATACATTTAAAGCGGACGCAGTGAAGTGGACACTGGACCACACCCACTCACTATCTAACACATGATAGGGGAGACTGGTTTTATAACTAAGATATTTTGATGAGTTTCTGATTCAAAAATTTTAAACATTCCAATCAACATAATAATATTTTACTAGTAATAATTCGTTATAATAAGTGAAGTACACTTTTACTTATTTTTGAAAGATAGGTGCAAGCTGGTAGCTCCTTTGCGATCCCGGCAGGGGCTAGAACCACATCTGCCAAAACCTGACAAAGTGATTGGATTTTTCCTTACTACCGGGTAACCATGTCGAAATGTAAACCTTTCTTACCCTTTTTTTACTCACATCCTAGATAAAAATTACTAAAATGACGAGTTATTGGTAAATCAGAAATCAAGTTCAGGTATACAATAAACTCCCAAACATTTGCTTATGCTATAATCCTATTGATACACAGTCCATTGAATAGTTACATTAAGATCACGAACCATTGTGTCTAGTCTGAACACAGGTTTACATTGGGAAAGAAAGTGTACCATTTTTATTTGACGGGAAGTGTACATACATCTTCTAAATAGAGGTTGACGAATAGAGGTAAGAACTCTTATTCTTGTCGCTTGATGCCGGTATAGATTTGTTATTATTCGTATAGTTTAAGCTACGATCTAAGAGATTACTGACTATTCTTAGCTGATAAGAAAAACAGTTATTTGAGAAGACTTAGCCAGCGCATTATCAAAACTCTGCCACACAGACTCCATCTTAGTTATCTAAGTTAGTCAACACACATTTTTTATGACTGTGACATTGAAACTGTTAGTATAAAAATTGCAAACCCATTCACAGAATATGGATTTCAGCAAAGTATTTAGGAACACCACTATTATTCCACTTTTTTCAATAAAACAAACAGTTGTTTGTTTATACATACCATTCGATTGGAAAACTCGTTCTCTATTTAAAGGCTCAGGTGTAAATAATGGTATCTGACAAAATTGTCGAAATTAAGATTTTGCAGGAAAACAATGCTATATGCAGTTCTAGTCAGGAATCTGTTGATATTTCGTTACTAGTTTAAAAGATGGCACTGTAAATAAGTAGCAAATGGTAGCTAAGTGACATCGAATTTGGGTAAGAAATGGTATTTGTAAAAAAATGGCGCCTAACGATCAGCTGGATCAATATTTTGTTGCAAAAATAAAGATGTTTTAAGCGAAACATTGCTAACAAATAGTGACTGCGAGTTTTATGACTCAGATAAAGACCAGGAATATATGCCTAACGATGACAATGGGCCAATAAAGGTAAGAAATTTGACATATTATCGAATAAACTAGAGAGCATGTAAATAATGGTAAGTTA